TGTAAAATATTTTTTATCTATCAATATAAACACGCTCACATACGTATATATAACATTGCACAGCATTGATATATATGTAACATAAACTACACCAAGCCACTTTTCATGTCAGTATACGGCAGTTGACGAAGATAAACATTCATTGCTGATGTAATAAGTGATTTTTAATTGTGAGATGGCATTTTTTATCAACCGTAAATATAATTTTAGTAATAATTAAAATTGAAATCGGTCACGTTTCGGAAACAAAGACCTGTGAAACTGTGTACGAAGTTTGAGAGGTTATATTTGCACAGTTAAGTATTAATCTATGTGTATCTGGTTAATTGATGCCAAACATCCGGAAAAGCTGGCACCGTTATGGCAACGTGCCCGATTACGCTTCTGCGAACATCGCCATTGAATAAGATTGCCATTCAATTGCCAAAAACGTCACGGCGACGGCGTCGGCACGCTGCGCGAAAATACCGAAATCCCCACGTGGTTGGAATAGTAAAGAAGGTCGGTCGTATCCTAAGGTATAGGACACTGTGAAACGGCACAAAGTATATCCCCGAAATCGAAGAGAAACAAGAGTTATAAGGAATTAAAAATGTGCTATAGATATTTTTTAAATATAAATAGTTTGGAGACGCTTTGAATATAAATAGTTTGGAGACGCTTTGAATTGGTAAAATAGTTTTATTATATATATTATAAATATTTTATATATATATATATATATATATATATATATATATATATATATATATATATATATATATATATATATATATATATATATATATATATATATGTATCAAAAAATCATTATGCATATAATATTTATAATATTAAACAAATAATTTTATTAAACGATTAGATAGTAATGTAATTAACACATTAGTATTGCATGACATGACAACTAGTGAATCATATGGTTCACGAATGTTTATTCCATCTTTTGTACCATGTTTTATGCATAAGTACATTATTTATAAGTAATCGAGTGTTTCTATTCTTAAATGAGGGGAGTAGTAATACTTAGGAATTCGAAAAATCCTCACTTCTTAACACAACAAGACCAAAAATATGCCTTACGTAACCCACGTTATTTGATAAAGTTATCATTTAGTCCCAAATTGGTGCCGAAATTATCTCTTGTATCTTGTATTAACTGATGTTTGTGCTTTCAGTCCCGAGACTATTAAAGCTTCATCTGACGCAGAACCGGTGGGCTAACCAGAACCCACGGGTTTGGGTGCCGAAATTATGCTAAGGGTATATTAAACAGTGTATTCTGCGCTTGGATAATTTAACATTAATTCTTTTGCATTTATAGAAAAAATATACCAATCGAATTGAGAACCTCCTCCTTTTCGAAGTCGGTTAAAGGTAATACCATTCATTTCGTAGTCGCCGTCTAATGAAGCATCGGGCTTAAAGTGAGTCAGCAGCGTCATACGTCAAAGGAGATACGCAGCGAAGGATCAATGGACAATACCCAATAAGTGTTACTTATTTTTTATATCTCATTTATAGATTTGCGGTATACACTTATTGATTATGGTTGTCATTAATTTCCAAGGGTTCACCCGTAATTTGAAATTTTTCGTAGTTTATAGAAATAATTGTACAATAATTTCATGACCAGCACAGGATGTCAGCCACCATCAGATCAGTGAGGTTTTCCAGCCTTCTCCAGGAATACCGGCTCATGATAAATAATTTTTGCTCTGTCATTGTGACTGAGAACATTGGTTCCCAGTCTTACAAAGCTGTCTATCGTTCATTAAATTTCTAGAACCTCCTCTTAATCAATATTTTATCAGAACTAAGTTAAATTTTATTTAGTTAAACGGATTACAGTTATTAAAATATGTAGAAAAAAAAAGTTATATTAAAACCTTAGTTTACACCAAAATATTAGTTGTAATGTCGTCCCAAGCCGTGATAGCTCAGTGTCCGGGCGCTCGCCTTCAATTGAATATACTCGAGAAACCCGAGTTCGATCCTCGGTGCCGGCACCAATGAAATTGAATATTTTAAGTGCTGACATATCACGTGTTAAGCGCTGAAATGATAACAAAAATATATTTCAAAGATATATGAAGTCCACCAATCCGCAGTGGGGCCGCGTGGTGGTCTATGCCCTGATACCCTCTGTACAGAGGAGGCCTTTCCTCAGGAATGGGACAAGTATAGGCTGTTACTTTACTTTTTACTTTTTATGGTCCCGTATTAAATTCATTGAAACAGTGAAAATAGTGAAATAGTGAGTGAGATATTTGAAGTCAGTTTTGTTTATAAACTTTTATTGGCCAACACAACAGTTGGCACCCTTACCCGAAAACATACAATTTGCTTTCGCATTTCCCAAGAGTAGCACAATCAGTAGCTTCTGTCACCATGACATGATACCGTGTAATGTCTTGCAACGAACCATTGTCATGCCATTATTTTGACGAACATTATATCATTACTCGATTGAATTAGCCGAAAGCCAAATCAGACTCTTAAAGTATTTTAAACAAAATACGTTTGTAATTTCATGTGGAAAATTTAATTAGCTTTGTCATTTTTGATTATTAATTAGTAATAAGCGAATAACGCTTCAAGTGAGTAATTAGAAATAATGTGTCACACTTTATCACATTCCTTTTTAAATAGCATTACAACATAGTTACTAGGCATTACCTCATATTTATCACAATAAAAACAGATCGTCGGATCTTATTATCCTGTCAGAGCGAAGATAGCTGCTCATGTATACAATTCAGCGAGTTTTCTTTTGTCCCAAAACACAGGAGAGAATTATCTTCGTAATCTTCCTAGATTTACTCCTGTAAATATTAGACAGGTTTTGGAAATCTAAAAGCGTATTCGTGCACGCGAACGCAGCTCTCATACGCAGTACTCATCACACTAAGGTCCCAAATACGACATTGCTGTCAAACTGTCTACAAAGGTATAACTGGTCCCCACAGAGGCCGAAAAAAGTGTCCTCCCAAAATACAATGCGTCTATTTACCGTTGACTCTTATTTCCTTCCTCACAATGGCTGTGTGAAATTCTACACAATGCAACGACAATGCAGACAGTAGCAATTAGGTACAGCTTAAGCGAGTCTTAGACTTTTTGTTGACAGTTTCGGTGTTTGCACCCTAGCGTTGCGACATTCCGTATAAGTCATACGGTTGTACGTTTCAAGGTATTAAGGGATATAGTTATAGGTACAATGTAGCACCTGTTAGTTATTTCGCATGGATGGATGGCAGTCAAGTGCTGGCCAGTTCTAAATGAATAAAAAAAAATGTTCGACGACTGCATACTTCAACGATATACACAAATAAGTATATATCGCTGTATTGATATCCAATACAGCGATATATACTCTGTATCATCGCCATAAGAACCTAAGAGGCCAATACCCACCGCTCTCAGGATCAATTCAGAGACACATACTCTCAGAACACATGTAATTATGCGGATAGTTCTTAGACAACCTCTGCTTGGTAAGCTATAGAGCTTTGAAAGCGAAAATATTAACCATAAATATAGAAATGATCTCGTTAGTTGTAGTTGTTGTTTGGCATAAGCACATCGATTCGTGGCTCCTAGACACGGTATGTCTTTTATTGTTTGTTTTAAACGTCCTAAATTACATTATCCTGTGTTGTAAGAGCGTTTTACAAAACATAAATTTCACGTGGACAGACACCCAGATCCGAAAAAAATTATCTGTGGGTCACACAAATACTTTTCCCGTGTGGGAATCGAACTTACGGCCCCCGGCGCCGAAGCCTATACTTCGACAACTGCGTCACGGAGTCATCAATTAAATTTAACATTGCTGTAGATCTTTTCGTAGCTTTTAAAACTACATGTATTAAATAGGTTTCCTGAGTACTTTCGACAAATATTTGTTTCAGATTGAGTATTGCTTAGACATCCTAAATATGCAAAAATGCGAAAGCTAAATGATTCGCAACGATATTGTTCAAACTTTGTATCGATTGCTAAAATGGTCACGCGTCAAATATCCAACCTTGGTTTCAACAATATGGTATGTAGACAAATATCAGCGTTCTTGGTTAAATTCCTAAACGATTTAACGTGATATAAAATTCACTGTGATTGCCAGATTGAACCTTGTGATTCTCGACTAGTACCTCAAATAAATTTCAAGCAATGCTCGTGAATATAACAGTAATAGCTGGACATTAGCTAAAATTTATTAAAAATTTAAATTGTTTATAGTGCTAATCTTTGCATGATCAATCTTGCACTTAAGATTGATCATTAAAATACGTAGAAAAAATACGAAGAGGGTTCGATTCCCACAGCGGCGACAATCTTTTCGTACTTTTTCTACATATTTTAATAAAATTTATTTCTCATATCCGCCATTTATTTAATAATAAACCTATTTCACTGTATTGGGGCACACAGTTGAAGTAAGGAGTAATATCTTACCCTACTTAACAATTTCTTAAAGCTGTAGAGCTTATTTATTTAAAATTTTTATAACAAATCCTATTGAAGTAGGAGACTGATTTTACGAATTGGATGAATTATTGATTTGAAAATAAATAATTCAATCGTTTATGTAACTTATGTCTCTTATTTTTCGTAGGATACAAATTTAAAAGTGTACGAGAGGAAAATTTTAAAAATTTTATAAATTTTATAAATTGGATAAATAAAGTAAAACAAGGTTTGTTTGTCATTTATACATTATTCATAACCATGGCATTATAGTATACATTAACAAAATAAATGCTTATTAAATAAACCATTACATTATTTACAACTACTTAACAAAATTCAATAAATGCTAATAAAACAATACCGTACCTAAAGGACGGTTGAATAATGAACATATCTGAAAAGGCTATAATCTTTCAATCTGTCAAAAGTAATAGTTTATTATAACATCACCTTCGAATAAAAATGTTAAATTTAGAGAATATTTTACAGCGCCATCTATTATTTAAACTTTGCAGCAAGACGCAGTATCACAGCCATTGCTCGATCGGTGCGTAGTTAACGTCATATCCCGGGCCTGCGTGACTCAAACTTCTGGCACCAGGTGACGTTTGCTTCCTGAAGAAATCTGCTACGTTCCCGCTCATACTGCCGTAGGGGATACCACCTGAGAAGTTAAAAAATATATTGTTTGTATATTATATCGAACTTATTTATTAAGGTTCACCAACATTGGACACATTAAGCATGCAAATTAATTAAAAAAGTAAAAAAAAATTGAAAATGTTCCAAAAATTACAGGTAAGATAGCTTTCTTAACATAAACTTATACCAAAATTCAAATAATTTAATATCGAATCGAATTTAATAACGAATTCAAGAGACCGCTGCTTAAAAGCAGTTGCTCCTTACAAGCAATGTCAGTGGCAAACTTTAAATCTATGATCAAATGGATAGGACTGGTTATCATTGCTGAAAAAATTATATATTATATTTTGTTTTCGTCTATATATTTCTCAACACGTAGCAATAGTGACAATCATTGTAAAAGCTTTGCGGTGATCAATATTTGACTGTGCCATGGTGATTTTTATTATGACCGAAAGTAAATTAATAAACGAATTAGATTTAGTTTATATTTTAGTTTTAGTTTATTTAAACGATTAAGATTAATTTATTAGTCCACTGCACAAAATCACTTAACTGCCGGTTGCGTAACTCACCGTAAGAGAGACCGGGTCCCGGCAGCGGAGGCTGGCCAGCGCTGTCGGGCCTCGCTGACGTAAGTGCCAGCAAGGCGGCCACGGTGCAAACAACAATGGCGATCTGTAAAATGTAGCCAACATTAAAATATACTGTAACACAAAGGCTGTGCGTCTGTTACGCGAACATTGCATTTGGTTTCTTTAAGGCGTTAGATACAAATGAATGAATGTTCGATTGCGTACATTATTTTCCAATGTTACAATAAAAAAATTATCGACTGAATGGTATGCAGTTAAATAAACGATACTAACAATGCAGTAATGGGAACAACTTCAGTTAAACGTGAGTGACAGTGTACTGCTTATTACATAAGATGTATTTGTTCACTTCAAACTGAGTTGCGTAGGAATTTATCTGCTTTTGTTATATATCCGTTTGGTCTTCGATGTTGGCTCGAGCAACCTGAGTTTAATTACCGGTGGCGGTACCAACAAATTGTTAATTGCAATTTTAAGTGCCGTCTTATTACTTGGGAAATCTGCATATTTTCGAAATAATAACAAAATAAATATTTTTCAGCTTGTGAAGTCCGGTGTCGGATTTGAGACGACCTAATCCTACCCTCGGTACAGAATAGGCCTTTGCCCAGTAGTGGGACATATATGGTTGCTTGGACATACATTATATCACTTTAATTTGAAAACATATCTTTTCTTATTACAATAAGTGCTGTTCATCGAGATCTTACTTGAATAAAGTTCGCACAAAACGACACTACATCTGTTAACCCTGGTAAGTTGACGTTAGACTTGAAACGTTGTCGGTTAAGTATTCAAGTGTAAAAGGCTACGCCACGCTTCTATGCAGTAAAGTGGTCCAATAAAGATCTAGAACATTCGTGAATCAACCTAGATATCTAAAGTGACACAAGTTTAAGATTAGCATTGCTTTTGTCACGAGACTTAAACGGTTTTAATCTCGAATTAAAACTACTTCGTGAGTTATGTTATATTCTATCGAATCAAAGTTTGTATATTTGATTCAACTTAAGACTACAAAATATAAGCCTATACAACTACAAACTATAATTTAAATACTATATTAAAAACTAGTATATGGTCACTTCTAATCACACATTTCACGCTTACCATTTTCTCTTCTAAAAACTATCTTTATTTCTTTAAAAGTGCATTTTTAATAGCTTAAATCTCAAAACTATAATAAACTTTAAATGTAATTGCATAATATACTCCTTTCTAGCATCATAGTACTATGTAAAAACTTATTTCTTTATTTTAATTGACTGTCACTTAAAGGGAAAGACAAAACCGATTTCACTTTTCCTCGATACTAAAGCACTGCTTTCTCCTTTAATAGAAATTCATTAATTCTAAGAGCATAACAGACAAATGAGAAACCTTGAATTATCTTTTTGACAACTTGGATATTTCAAGGAGTTAAAAATCACACGTTAAAATCAATATAATATAATAAGTTATTGTCGAAAAACTTTATTTCCTCGAAAGAAAGTTCTGTGTGTATACTTATACACTTATACACATATATACATACTTATATACATATATACTTAACTTACTTGAAACAATATTTATTAATTAGATTAAAAATCTGAAACCAATGAGTTTAATATTTGTGATCTGAAACCCGAAATCAAAATCAACGGCTTCAAAGATTCGGACAAAGATATTGATTAAAATGAATGCTATAATTTATTTTAAAGAAATATCAAAAGAAATAAAAAAATTGACTGACTGACGAAAGTTGTTCCACAACCTGACTGGCCATTTCATTTGTGGTAAGTAGAAAATTAAGTACACTTTATTAACTAAGAAAAACGCTACGATGGTAGCGCCACGCAGCAGCCTCGGCTGTTGCACGAATGGGCAGGCTCGTCCGGGTAAGTACCACGACCTCACAGAAGACCGGCGTAAAGTGGAAGTATAATACTTCCGCGTTTCGTCTGGTGAGTGGGGTGGCCGGAGCCCAATTTTCAAAAGATTGTCAGCGCATCTGCAAACCCTCGGGTGTAGCAGATGTCCATGGGCGGTGGTATTCACTTAACATCAGGTGAACCACCTGCTTGGCAACTTTTCACATAAAAAAAAAACTAAGAAAAAACTTTTTCCATGGTGTAAACTAACGACAAGAAGAACCCACGCAAGAATAATATCGAAATGTCAAGCGAGCTTTAACAGCGGAACTGAAATAATTATTAATGGAAAAGTACATAATAAGACACAGGTAAAGCTTATGAAAACATGATAAAATGTAAAGATTAAGAAGTAATGTTGCGTAGCCAGTGTATGTTTACTTAGATTGACAAGCTGTAACTGACTTCAGAATTCTCATATCAATAGATTGCATTGAACTACTTACGGCTTTTATTTTAGTTCAGCCTCGGCCCTGACCTTGCATATTATTTATGAGTTACGCATTGAGGCAGTAACATATATTTCGTTTTACAGTGACGTTATTCTCACTGTGTCATAATTTTATCCTAAAGTAACACTAAGTAGTACATAAATTAATCCCAAGATGGAACGGAATCTCCACCAACCAAAGCTAATGATTAATCAAGTGACGAACCGAAACACCGAATAAGATGACATAGACGCGTTTTATATTCGTATTGTATAATAGTAGCTAAAGCCGCGACAGGCCGCGAATGCCGAAGACGTGGGTTCGATTTCCAAGGCGGCGACAATCTTTACAAATTTCAATATTGGTTTGGATGTTTTATAAGTTCTAACCTACGATTTATCCAAGTGTCTTAACTTCCGAACACAGGGAAGAAATGAGGTTGTTTTTAATATCACTTTCATTATCGAAATTTAATGGCTTTTAACGATGTGAACTATATAACAATTTAAGTTCGAGGTAGAACCGGAACTTGCAGAACTTCCGGACGTGCGAAAACGACCTTGCGAAGTCGTGAATGTTTCGACCGTACATAATGCATGCGTACTTCCGTTACCAAGGTATTGCCTCCTGCGCTGGCTGGGGTCGTGGGTTCGATTCCCACACGAGACAACTATTTGTGTGACGAACAGATGATTGTTTCGGATATAGGTGTTGTTCCACGTGAAATTTATCATTTTATAACGTCCTTGCCACGCTGGATAAAATTACTGTACAATAAGGGAAATGGTTTTACAAAATATATACAAACAATAAATGAAAATAAATTAATGCTTACTATCTTGCGTCAATCCTGTCATAGTTTTTTAATAGCAAAACGCTATGCAAAGGCTAGCACTAGTGGCGATTATACAGGATACCAACCACTGAATATAATAGGCCGTATTAACTAAAAAAATTGTAAACAGTAAAATTATATACAGTATTCTCTTAATTCAGTGATGGCATTGTTGCTGGTAGGTTGGACTTTCAATCTTAAAGTTACGCATTCGAATTTCAGAGGCATACACTTATACATTTACTATTTATTATCAACATCCTTACTTCCTTACTATATCCTTACTAACATTATAAAGGCGAAAGTTTGTATGTATGGATGGATGTTTGTTACTCTTTCACGCAAATACTACTGAATGGATTTTAATGAAACTTTACAATAAGCTATAGCTTATAGCTTATATATCAGAATAACACATAAGCTGTAATTTATATACATATTTTATGTATATCTGTCTGAATGTTACGCCTTCAGCCTGTCACCTTTTAAAGTAGACAAGTAAATCTTACGAGCCCTGATAGCTCGAACGAACTGAGCTCAATTTCCGGTGCCGGTACCAATGAAATTGATAATTTTATGCGACGACTTTTCAGCAGTAAAGGAAAACCCGTGGAAACCTCGTGGATGAAGGAAGTCGCGTGTCGACTATGCCTTAATTAATACCCCCTGTACAGAGGAGGCTTTTGCCGAACAATACGACATTTACACATTTACTTTTTTTTAATAGTAATAAATATTTAATACATGTTTTTTACACAAGGTTTTCTAGACCCATACTAAGCAACGCTTGTACTATGGGTACTAGATAACTGTAACATACCTAAACATACATTTCTTTTGTAAATAAATTCATATTAGAAATATACAAACACCCAAACACTGGGAAAACACCATATTTATCTCACAATATTTTTCAAGTATCGGGGATTGAACCCACACCCTCAGGCGCAAAAGGCAGGTGTACTACCCACTACGCCAATCGGTTCGTTACTTCACTTTATATGTGAGTAAATAAAACATCAGAATAATGTCTAAAGATGTCTAAACAGGTCGTTGAAACACGTTTCCCTAAATGCGCAGGTCGAAGCCACTGAGATCTACTTAAAAGTGCTTGAACATGAAAAACCAAGGTTGGGTATTTGACGCGGGACCATTTAGGCAATCGATGCAAAGTTTGACCAATATCGTTGCAAATTATTTAGCTTTCGCATTTTTTGCATATTTAGGATGTCTAAGCAATACTCAATCTGAAACAAATGTTTGTCGAAAGTACTCAGGAAACCTATTTAATAAATGTAGTTTTATAGCAATTAAAATTTGTAGAACAAGTACGAAAAGATAGTCGCCGCTGTGGGTTCGATACCCATGTCTTCGGCATTCGCGGCCTGACGCTTTAGCCACTAAGCTAAACGGCTAATTGCCACCCCGACGAAATTCTTTTATCTACATTGTTTTTTTTAGCATTTGAAGCAATTCTTGGCGCAACCATTTTTATATCCTGTTCAGCACACAAACAATATAGAATATCGTTTTACAACGATACCTCGAACGAGAGATGTCGCCACTGCTTTTTAGAAATTTAATTTTTTTTATGGCACTAATTGCACTAAAGATTAATATTAAGATACCAAAAGATCTACAGCAATGTTAAATTTAATTTGATGAAATGTAATACTTTCGTATGGAGTTGCAAAAGAACCGTTGCAAACCGGAAAACGATGTGGGTATTGGCACGCAACTCATATATCTAGCATCGATGACCCTTTCTACGTTATATAACGCCTTTGGTTCGTTAAAAGAAAAGATACCTTGAATAACTCGGTCAAAGTTAGAAATGCAACTTAACGAAACGTAATACTTCTTCAAACTCCGCTTCAATTATCATTTTCATTATTAAAATAGATTACGGAACATGTAAACTGTGTAAAATTAGAAGCTTATTGTCGTTCTTTTGTTGTTCAAAAAGAAAGGTCGATTTCTTACTCTAATTTCATTTGAACAGGAGTTTTATATGCTCATGTTCATACTTAATTGTTACTAAATTCACCAATGAAATTTTTGCATTAAATTAATCTATGCTGGTTTAATCGTATACATTTCAATATGTTTGCAGCGTTCAGGGCCTCGTGACGTACTAATGTTTTAAAATCAATGTAATTAGTCAAGGCAGTGTTAAAAGTCGTAAACTGGATTAAGTATATTATATAAAGAGTAGTTAAAATTTATAATATAAACGTTATATTGTTGTGGTTTACAAAATATGGTTATTGTTTATTAAAAATATCACAAGACTACTTTATTCTCTTCGAACGAGAGAAGATATGACCTTAAATATTTCTTCAATTTATGCACAATAATAATTAACATAATATACAATGATTTGTCAGTCCTAAACAAATATTTAAATTGAAAAATATAGCCACAGGCGAAACAATAAGTGTTTTTATTTAAGCTACGCACATTCATAACTTAGCCTACAAGTGAGTAATTAAGTGAACTATCAAATATAACAAAAATAATTGTTGTGATTGGCTTTATGATAAGCACAACAATTATTGATATATAAAAATTACTTTAATATAAAAGGTATACAAAAACACAAAGGATGAATAAAATTTGAAGTTCTTACGTTAAATATTGACAAAGGTCAGGTCTAATCGGTATTATCTGCATGTATGTCTTTAAAATTTAAAATTAGGATCAACAAAACAACTAACCTTTCGTAGACAAATCATGACTGGCACAAGAACAACACTATAGAGTGAGTCGCGCGACTCCGTCCACTATTTATATCGGGAGATGCGGCCGTCAAAATGTCGGGTGATTCTGCAAACGAAATTTTCTCATTAAAAACTCGTGAATATCGCCTCAACAATTTGAGCTCAAAACGGACATAGAACCCGATTAGCGTAGTGGATAGTGGACCTGTAGTAATAATGAATACCTCTGACTGACTTATAAAACACTAACTTACATAATTGTTTTCAAATATCACCAAAACTATAAGAGCTGACATTTTAATTTTCTTACAAATTAATCAATTCCGATCAATATGGCAACATGCATCTATCATAATAAAATCAAACTATTTTGCATTAACTATATGTCATTGCATTACTAAAACTGCATTCAACATTGCATTACTAAATGACAATGTCCATAATAAAAATATAGATAATATAAAAAAATAACATTATTTTGCAGAATCGGCCTCTTCCTTACTTAAGCTGTGTTAAGTCGGCTCCATTGAGCCTTGACAAATAAATGCCGTTGGTATATGCTACAATCAGGATAAGTCCACGGTAGGCGAATTCATAACTGCAACATATGTATACTTCATATCCCAGCTGTGCAGCCTTCGCCTAAATATTTCAATTTTAATCACTGTGAGATTAATTTTCTTCATTTCTTAATATCCTTATTATCAAGGCATTACGTTACTAAGTTGGCCGGTTTTTATGACCCGATAAACATTTAAGTTTTAAGATTAACCCAGGTTAACACCATGATTATTATTTTATATACATATTAAATATTCCGATCCGAAAATTCAATTATCTGTCCCGTGTATTGATTGAACTCCTTCTCCCCGGGAATTGAACTCTTCATAGGATTCCGACGCCAAGCCACCGAGTCATCTATTGTCTTCTTCTTCACCGAGTTCCTAAAAATTCTTATCTAGTGATCCCTGTCTTATTGGTCTTATTACACCCCAAAACTTGAACCTGTCATCTCTCTGCAGAGTAAAAAAAAAATAGTAATAAAAAATGTAATCAAGAAATCTTTGTGTAAATCCTAATAAAAACCTCTGCTGTCCCAGCAGAGGTTTACCAACCTTCTCCGGAAGGTGAGGCTATATCCCAAGCACATATTGCTGTGTTCATACATTGTGTGAACATGGCCTCAATATATCAAGTGAACGTAACTATTCGGAAGTTACACGGTCAATAGCACGTGTGATTACATATATAAAGAAATAATAAACTCGTTTTTAGTTTCGTCTTTAAGACAACGCGATTTTAACAGATCACTCTCAGTGCTGTTGATGTTGGCTTGGATTGAGCAGAAGTAAATGATAGTGGATGGTCAGTGAATTTTATTTGTGAAAAGTTGGCAAGCTCAGATTAAAATTACCGCCGCCCATGGATATCTAAAACCCCTAAGGGGATGCAGATCTTTGAAAATTACGCCCTGATTACCTTAGTCACCGGAAAAAGCGATAAACTTTAATACTTCTACTTCAACTCTGATCTTCTGTTTCATTTCTGCAGAGGATCTTCTGTTTCACTTCTACATATTCCATGAAATAGTGGAAGCTGTTAAGATGCTCCTTTACTACAAACATTTAAGAAGTTCTACTTCTTTTTAAACTGATTTCCTTGCTTTCATTCCACATACTGTTAAAGCTTGATCAACAAAAAACTTAATATCGCCCTACGCATTGGCACAGCTGCGCATGCTATTTGTATTTCTTTCTGGTATACAATAAGATTTCATTCATTCATTCAATCATGCGTTATCTAATCGGATGTCACCTACGGTCCATAGACGCTTGTTTGCCTGTGATCCCGACATCTGTACTAATCGTTGGCTGAGTGCGGGCAGCACCACCCTTGAACGCTGGAATGCCTTGTGTAACGCGCTATGTGCTGTGCCTTCACCATGCTCTTGCCAAGGCAATATAATTGGTCTTCTAAGCTAGCACTATGTTTAGGTATCGTGTTATGTGATGAGATCCCCGTCTGGTCTGGTGCTCTTACAAGTATGTCGAAATACTCGTATCTTCTTTCTACGCTGTTCTTTTTGTAGGAAAGAATGTAACTAAATCATTGAATTGCATTTATTTAAAAAACGGAAATCAGAAAAAGGCGAAGTGATTTGAGATCGCGCGTTCTAACTCCTGTGGCTCAAGTATTGTATTCGTTAGTATTGCCACTGATATCCGATAGATAGAGGTATTATAAAAATGATGTATTGTATTTACAACTATCATATGCTATTTACGTCTGAACAAGGACCCGGAAACGCGATATAATTTTGCCTCTTTGCCTAATAACTAAATTCATCATGAAGACAGCACTCAGCGACTGTAGAAAAGAGTAGGAGGATCTCTCTCTCTCTCTCTCTCTCGTGCATTTATTATTCCCACACGGTAGTGGGGTCTGCCTTTCCTGTCCTTCGCTTTCATTCGCTTCCACTTCGCTCTATCCACCGCGTCGTCATGAGTCACATTGCAGGCGTTAACATCTTTTTTCAGTACCTTTGCCCATCTTATTTTTGGATCATTTTCTTAAATAATAAAATTAAATAGTAAATCATCATAACCACAACTCTGTTAACAACAGTAATGAAACTGTGGTAATATCAGCATTTTAGACGAAAAGAAATTAATCTAAGAAAGGTCTTCAAGACTATACTTAGTATCAAAGAAGCAACTTGTTCTTTTTTTTCTTAACCTACCAGATTTCAATGATTTCGCTTGTTCTTGAAATGAGTACTTGTTGTGGTTAACCCAAATGTAGGAAGCGACTATAAATATGCAAAACAGACCGTTCCCTAACTGGTTGTCAGTAATTAGTGTCATGTTTATTTTCAGTTGTTCACTTCCGACGAGATATAACGTAAAATATTTAATTGAATGAAATAAAACATAAAGCGTAGCATTTTTAGTAAACGAAATTGAAAATTTATTATAGTCTGTTGGATAGGGGGGACCATTAGCTTGCTGATTCCAATCAAGTGAATTAACGATTTGTAATCTTCGGTATAGTTTAATAATAATTGTAATAGCTATACCATTTGATAAAAAATATTAATGATAATGCACATAATACGGTTAGACAGACACACTGACCTACTTGTAAGTCTAGAGATAAATTGAAATATCTATTACTATCTAGTAAATAGTAGATATATTGCATAAATCGGTAGCATCAAAACTTAACCGATCCGATATTTTTTTTCAAGATGAATCTAGTTGATGAGCTGTTACGGCAGCTGACCGCTACCGTACGATGCTTTTTCTACAGGATTTGCATATTTTACATAATTATGATCCCCGAAACAACGCGCTGTAGGTCAGAAGGTTCTTCCGAGCTATAAATGTTATATTATTTAAAGCTAAATCACGTGAACACAACTAGTAAATGTGTTGATTGAACACAACTATTACTCAAATAGTATAACATAACAAAATACTTCTCCTAATAAATGTACCTAATAATTAGGAGATTTAACTAAATTTGAAAACATACCATCATCATTTTAAAACAACGTATCAAAATGTTTACATATTTGTAATATAAAACACGATATTTTCGCGGATTTTATTGGATAAACGACTTTTTATTTTCAAATTGCTATTTTAATAATTTAAAAACTTACCCTAGCCTGAGCGATGACATTGGAACACCTTGTGACCGTGAATGATGAAGTGTGGAAAACGTCTCGTCAGTAATTTAACAAAAAACCAAACGGTATAAAAGCCATGAAAACTGTTTAATTTAACAGTAGCCTTAGTTTAACTATAGATAGTTTGCTAACAATAATGAAAAATAAATAATAAGTACCTATATTAAAAAAGAGCAACTGTTGAGTTTCTTGCCGGTTTCTTCTCAACAGAAACTGCTTTCCGAACCGGTGGTAACTTACGAACGTGTTAATTTCTTGTAAAATTTTGACGTTTCATAAGAACGCGCAAGCGTCTATGTGAATAAAGATATTTTATTATTATTATGGGGGATATTCATTTGTTTCCTCGTCTGGTTGGGTTTATAAATAAAAATATAGATACATATTGCATATATAAAATAAATATTATGGCTAAAAATAAACATACTTATAAAAATATTTATATAATACATATATAAATAGGACCCAACCAGACGGAAGCCCTCGGCAGGGGAGACCAAACGGCCGAGGGTTAGGGCGATAGGGAGAGAAACCGGCGGACGATGCGGGCGGTATCGAGGAGCACCGCTTTCTGCATTTGAGCTTGGAGCGTTCCGTCGCGGAGTCCCAGTCGTCTCAGATGTTCGGAGAGGCTGACTGGGATTAACCCATTCGCAGACACGACTATTGGGATAATTTCGGTCGGCACACCACCCCACATGTCGGTCACCTCGTGAGCCAGGTCCAGATACTTCGTCTTCTTATCTGTTTCGGCTTTCACGAGGTTCTCGTCATATGGAATGGTAATGTCGACCAAAAATACCCGCGACTGTGCCCGGTCCATCACCACGATGTCAGGTTTGTTCGCGACAATCGTCCTGTCCGTGATGATGGGCCGGTCCCAATAGAGCCTGGCGCGGTCATTTTCGAGCACGGCCTCCGGAGAGTACTTGTAGTACGGCAGTTTCCGTTCCACGAGTCCGTATTTCAGAGCGAGCTCCTGGTGTATAATTCTGGCTACTAGGTTGTGTCTATGCAGATACTCAGAGTTAGAAAGCATGGAACAACCGGAGATAACATGCCGTAGCGACTCCCCGGGATGGCGACAAGCTCGACAGATATCGATGGTGCCATCCCTTAGGATGTATCTCCGATAGTTGTTCGTCTTAATAACCTGATCCTGTATCGCACAGACAAAACCTTCGGTTTCCCCAAAGAGGTCACCGAAACGTAGCCAGTTAAGGGAGGCAACGGTATCTACGAAAGGCTCGTGTAGAGCCTTGTAGAACCTCCCGTGGAGCTCTTTCTCCTTCCATACGGTCTCTCGGTCGGAAACGCTCAGTATTCCCGGGTCCTGCCATTGCTCGTTGGCTAAGGATAGAGGGGTAAGTCCTTTATCACAACTAATGACGTCCGTGTAGATTGATTCATCCGATCTCGCCAGAAAGTAGTTACGGAGGCTGCACACCTCGCGATTGTGCATGGTGAGGGCGCTTAAAAAGCCCCTCCCGCCATGCTTCCGCGGCAGGTACAGCCTCATCACTGACGATCTCGGATGATGCATTCTGTGGGACGTCATAGTTGTGCGGACTTTTCGATCCAGGGCGTTGAGCTCAGTTTGAGTCCACCTGAGTATGCCAAAGGTATACATGAGGACTGGCATGACCAAGCCGTTAAATGCGCGTGCCTTGTTCACGCCTGACAAATGGCTGTTAAACACCTTTGTCAGGCGTGCAAAAAACACGTCACGAACTGACTGTTTCATGGCAGCCTCATCGATACACATGTTTTGTGACATACCCAGGTATCGGTATGTTTCAGCCTCAGAGAGGGTCCTTATGTTAACGGGCATAGATAGGTCTATGCCCTCCGTATTAGCGACCTTACCCCTTTCGACATGGACGACCGCACACTTATCCGTCCCAAGCTCCATTTTGATAGAATTGCTGAAATCACAAGTGACTTTAAGCAATTCCATCAAATGGGAGCGATTGGAGGCGAATAATTTGAGGTCATCCATGTAGAAAAGGTGGGTCACTTTTGTCCCTCCTCTCCGAAGCTGAAATCCTCCCCCCGAGCCTGATATATATATATGAATACGCTGAGAGGATTCAGGGAGAGGCAAAACCATATTGGACTCAAACAGTCGCCCTGGAAAATACCCCGTCGTATCCTTATCCGGTATTCCGCAGCCGTCATCCGCTCGCCTAGATGACAAAGGATCGTACTCCATTGCCCCATACAGTGCCCGAGGAAGTCTCTTACTGTACAGTCTACTTTGTACAGTTCGAGGACCCTCCCTAACCATGTATGGGGCACCGAGTCGAACGCCTTTCTGTAGTCTATCCAGGCGGCGGAGAAGTTCCGACGGTTGCGTTTAACCATTTTGCCAATGACCGCGTCGATGAGAAGTGGTTCCTTGGTTCCACGACCACCGCCCCGACATCCATTCTGAGCACGAGACATAATCCGATTCATATTAATATGCCGGGTGATTCTCATGCTCAGAATAGATGTCAGTGTCTTATAGATTGTAGGTAGACACGTTATGGGGCGGTACTTACTCGGGTCTGTGGTAACCTGATCTTTAGGAACCAAATGAGTGACCCCAGTAGTAAAGAGGCTCGGGAGCGACCTCTGATCGAGAGCCTCTTGGAACTGTCGGGCGAGCACAGCATGACATACCACGAACCCCTTCAGCCAGTAGTGATGCAGCCCGTCGAGTCCCGGACTTTTCCAGTTCGGGGCTCTACGGACTGCCTCAGATACGTCGTCGGGTGTTATGACGACGGGGTCCATGGGTGTAATGTCTGCACATTGGCTCGCCACGACTTGTGTCCAAGGGCCCTCGCTGTGGTCTACGGGCTCTGACCACAGGCTGCGCCAGAAGGCGACAGTGTCTGCCTGGTCCGGTCCTTGGCCCGTTCCACAGCTCATTATTATTATTATTATTATTGATTTATATGTTTTATAAGTGAGAAAGCAATCTTCTTGTTTATGTCTAAACCAACGAACCGGGACTGCGAATCTATGGTAAAACTTTTTTTAAGAATTTACAACGACGAAAGAAAAGGAATACAACGAAATGTTCCGTTCATTTCATATTTTTTTTATTTTTGCTTTGAAGAATTCGCTAAGACATGAAGGGGAATTTGGTACTTCGTTTTTTGTTGTGATAATTTCTCTCAATTCTTCAATAATTCGGAAAAAACTAACTTAGCACTTTTGCGGAGTCATGATATGGGTGAGGAGGCTTACTTAATTCAATTAAGATTTTACTGAATACGGTTTCTTTTCTAATAACTCGATATTTTAGAGAAAAGCCTTTAGTGAAAAAAGTGAATACAAATGGTTACCATTAGTAAGTAGTTAAAACCTGATAAATAGTTAATTTCAAAACAATTCTCATCATGTTTCGGTTGAGAACCGTGGGTTAGAATTGTATGTGAAGTCTCGATTTAAGGTTTAATTGAAGCGACAGGCTTATTTTGATGATTTAAAGCGTGATAAAGTCGCGTGATAAAGTAGGCCCACAAGAAAGAGTTACCACGGACACACAGATGATCAGTGTAAACGAGAAATATTTTCACTTTTACATGTTATTTGATGTGTAACTGTTGGTGTCCACTCCCTTGGAGGCGTCATCCTTTAGTCTTGTACGGAAGACTGTAATGAAAATGTGCTCAACGGTCTGCTCTTTTATCGCCTCCTTTCATAAATTATGAACGTATCTATTGTCTCAAATTAGTCCCCATATAGTGTGTAGTAAGAGAGTAATACTACAGATTAATGCGACAAAATGAATTGATTTCAAAACAGAAATGCATTCATGTATTTTTTAACACGTTGAATGGTTAATGGAGAAGAATTTTTAATCATTTCATGAAGAACGCGCGCAACCCTAAATTTCGAGAGCGAGACGAATGTAATAGTACCAATAGCATTAACTGTTTTGGATTAACCCGGGGTACAGTTCACTGCCGTTTTTCGCCGTTTGAACCGTGACGAATCCCAGCCGTTTCGTAACTATGGTGGACGAATTCTCGGACAATCAGATCGGCCATCGTGGACTTAAAAATTAATTTGAGACTTGCGAAATGAGAAGTTACTTCAATAACAAGAAAAATATAGCACAGTACAAGGTAACGTAATTTAGGTTTACTGTTTTTGCAATCATCGAGCATATTTAATTAGTTATGAGACCACTGGCATTGAATTATTTTGTTAATAAAGATTATAAATGTTTAAACATCGGCCAAGTACGAATCTATAAAAAAATATGTCTGTTGTAGAAGGGAGCCCCACTTAAATATTTTTTATTCTGTTTTTAGTGTTTGTTGTTATAGCGGCAACAATAAAAATGTGAGAATTTCACCTGTCTATTTCACGGTTCATGAGATGCAGCTTGGTGACAGACGGACAGACAAACAGACAGACGAAGTCGGGGAAGTAATATGACCCTGCCAATACTTTTCTGGGTGGAATACCGTGGGGGTTAGTAGTTGCGAATCCAACATAACCCATTCGATCCCCCGTATCACACGACACTCATAAAGAGTAGGATCTGTTTTAGTTTTAGCTCAGCGCCTGTCTTCATATGGCATCGATGTTACGTGTCGTGCCAAACTTAACGGCGGCTGTAAAGTAAGCGGCTAGGCGCTGTTCACGATCAAAGTTCGCTGATTCGAACAGGGTGGCGCTGTAGAGGTGTCGTTGCGCATCTGTGCAATCGACGCCCAATAAAATTTAAATCCGGACTTTAGGCCAATCATATTCAAATGTCAATATAACCGTTAAAAATTGTTCCTCTCCCTCTTATCCTCGAATCTTGTACAAAAATGTAGTTAAGTAAGTGATTAATCGCAATACAGTTTTCATAACGATCGCACGGTTTTTAATTCTGATCCAAAGCCTAGGAAAGTAGACACGCAGTCAACCTACACGCCCATTATTGGAGAGCATCAACATTTTTTGGTCCTTCGAGCCGGATCAAATTAAGCGGCGACTGGTGGATCACGTAGACGTTGAAGCTACATTCCTGGAGGAATACACATTTTTGTACAAGATTCGAGGATAAGAGGGAGAGGAACAATTTTTAACGGTTATATTGACATTTGAATATGATTGGCCTAAAGTCCGGATTTAAATTTTATTGGGCGTCGATTGCACAGATGCGCAACGACACCTCTACAGCGCCACCCTGTTCGAATCAGCGAACTTTGATCGTGAACATGCCCCCGACCTTGAAAGCAGCGCCTTTCGAAGTTATTGCTCAGCCTTGGCGTCTTCTTCTGGTAGCAAGAGACAGATTTTTGTATAGGCACGCCTCACTACGCCCGACGTCGTCCGAATCTCCGCAACACGAGAAACGCCATCTCTGCCGGGTATGGTGCGAAGTACTCGACCCATTTGCCATTTCAACGGCGGCATGTTAATGTCCTTGATGATTACTAAGGAATTAGGACTTAGATCACCTTTATGCTGCGTCCATTTTGTCCGCACCTGTAATCCAGAAATGTATTCCCTTGCCCAACGGGACCAGAAATGTTGTCGTAATTGTTCTACTCTTTGGTATCGGTTAAGACGAGTGACAGGAATTGCGGACATGTCTTCACAAGGCAGGGCAGTAAGTGGCCGACCAACCAGAAAATGAGCAGGAGTTAAGGGTATAAGGTCCTGTGGATCGGAGGAAAGAGGAGACAGAGGTCTGGAGTTAAGGACGGCTTCTATCTGTGATAGCACCGTGTTGAACTCCTCGAAGGTGAGGTGCGCGTTTCCTATCACACGACGAATATGGAATTTACACGATTTGACTCCTGCCTCCCAAAGACCACCAAAATGAGGCGAATAAGGCGGAATGAACTTAAATCTAATTTGCTGGCCTGTTGCATACTCTAAAATTTCTGCGTCGCAATTGCGTAAGAACTCTGAGAAATCATTCTTTACCCCTACGAAATTTCGGCCGTTATCTGAGTAGATTTCTGAGGGCTTACCGCGCCGTGAAATAAATCTCTTTAGCGCTAATAAGTATGACTCACTGGACAGATCAATAACTAATTCCAAATGTATTGCGCGCGTGACAAAGCATATGAACAAGCATATGTATGCCTTTATTAATTTCGCCCCCCTACCTTTGCGGTTCAAAATAAACACTGGCCCGCAGTAGTCAACTCCACAATGATTAAAGGGAAATCTTGGAGTGATCCGTTCCTTGGGTAAGTTACCCATGATAGGTGTAAGTGTAAGATTCTCTTTGGCATAAACGAACTAATGTTAACTCAGAGATTTTAAGTTCCTCTAAATTCAATTGACCTGTCCTTTTGCTTGTTTTTCTGCGTGAATTGTTTATAAAACGTAACACAAAGGCCATGGCACGCACCATACGACGATATTGTGAAAACCGATTAAAGGGAAATAGTGAGTTCAACTCGTCCTTAACAATAAATGATTGCATAACTGCCTTGACCTCAGGTAAATTCTCGTTATCACATGAGCCCGTGTTGACGAAATTGTCTACATTAAAACTGGGACTCCTCAAAAAGTCAAGACCATCCCACCATAAGGTAGAAGTAGCCAGCTATCTTCCAAATCGACACCACGGGACGCAAGGTCAGCAGGGTTGTCAATACTGTTCACGTGACGCCACGGTAACTCCTGAGTTAACTCATGAATTTCTACAGTTCTGTTACACACGAAAGTTTTTAATCGGTTTGGTGCCATACGTAACCATCCTAGCACAATGGTTGAATCTGTCCAAAATACTATATTAGTGAAGTTATAATTTAGCGAATTTCGTATTTTATCATACAATCTTGCACCTAATAAAGCGCCGCATAATTCAAGTCGTGGTATGCTTATAGGTTTTAAGGGCGCTACCCTTGCTTTCGAAAACAAAAGGCGTACAGATACCGATGAATTGACATTAATCGTACGCACGTAAACACAAGCGCCGTAGGCCGTTTGTGAAGCATCGCAGAAAATATGCAGTTGTACACAGATAGGTTGCGTACCTATAGCGTGTCTAGGTATGCGTAACGTAGTGAGAATATTTCGTGACATAACAAACCGGTTCCATGTACGTATAAATTCATTAGGCAAAGCATCGTCCCAACCTATTTTTAGTAGCCACAGCTGTTGTAATAACACCTTTACGACGATTATTACTGGGCTCAAAAGGCCTAACGGGTCAAATATTTGGGATATATTTGAAAGAATAAAACGCTTCGTGACAAGTTTGTTATTTGTTTGAAATTGCGTAGTATAATAAAATTATCGTTTAAGCTGTCCCAACCCAAACCTAACGTTTTAGAGCTGACATTTTCGTTTAATGTTAGATCTTTGCAATAGTTTGATTCATTACTGTCGTGTAATTGAAAATTAAAGTTCCACTTTTGTAGTGGAAAACAACCCGATTTAAGCAAATCAGCCGTTTTTTTGCACAGCTCCAACAGCTTAGATTTGTCATCATGACCGAACAAAAAGTCATCCACGTAAGCGCATTCAGTGATGACCCTTTGCACATCCGAATCATTAGTACACTCGGCCGCTAAATATTTTAAACACCTTACACTCAAAAAGGAGCGGAAGTGGTTCCGTACGTAACCGTATTTAATTGGTAAATACCTATTTGTTGCGACGGATCGTCTCGCCACAAAATCAGTTGCAAACTACGTTGATTCGGATCAATAAGAACTTGTCGGTACATTTTTTCGACGTCCGCGCATACGACATATTTATGTTGTCTGAAGCGCAAAAGTATTGCTATCAAATCGCCTTGTATAGCTGGACCTACTAATTGCAAATCATTCAAGGATTTTCCTGAACTGGTTGGACAACTGGCGTCAAATACAACTCTTAATTTGGTCGTAGTACTGTGTTCACGGAAAACGCCTTGATGTGGCATGAAATAACACGGAGAATCGAATGTGTGTACTCGG